TCTTGAACCTCATTTCTATTCTTCACTGCTCCTCATCTACTTTTTACTTCATTAGATTCTCTTTCTTCAGATGAATTGACATATTATCTCTGACTCACCTGTTGAGTTCCCGAGCTCCTGTGTCATGCTTCATCTGCTCCTACCTGGCCTTGCTCCCCACTACATTCATGTCACATGATCCTCCTTGCTCCGTGCCTGGTTTTAGAATAGAGCCTAGCTGCCTCGCTGTAGGGCTCCTAGGCTTGATTTGCAGAAATCCATTTCAGCTCCACAGACCACTCTGAGCTGCCTCCCAAGGTGTCTCCCACAAATAGACTTTTTTTTTGGAAAAGTGAACTTTTTAGTCTTTCTTAGCCTTACCTACCATTCAGTATGTTACCTATAAATCAATAAATGTTTATTCATTATAACAAAACTCAAAACTTGGTTAAAACACATTTGAAGGAGGCAGTGTTCTCTAGTAGTTGTGAGCACAAACTTTGGTTCAAATCCCAACTCTTGACACTTACTGATAATGTGACATCGAGCAAATCACATAGCTCCTCAGATTACAGTGTCCTGCCTCGCGAGGTGATTATGAGAATAAGAAAATGCACATAAAGTGCTTTGCAGTGCTTGACATGTAGTAAACCATCATAAATGGTGATTGCTTGGATGCTTTTAAAATCTCCAGTGTTTGTATGATGTGTTAAGGATGCATGCTGAGAACCTCAGAGAACAACAAAAGATATGCTATGAGATTGTTCTGTACAACTTCTTGAGGCCACATAAGTTCTTCAGAAATAGATCCAAACCTCCAACTCTAACCCTATACCTAGCATTATCTCCTTGGGCTCCTATTGGACAAAAAAATTCAGTGTCCAACTCCTGGCAAATGTTCTCATCAAAAGGTTCATTGAGACCAAAGAGTGATTATGTGCTTTTCTTCGCTGAGTTGGTGGGTAGAATTTTCTCTACCTGCCCTTTCCCCATCAGCACATGCAAGCTCATGCACACATACCCAGTGTTGTTGGCGGGAGATCTTGAAATGATTTTTACGTCTTAATATTTATGTTAATTATTGTCTTTGTACTTGACTGTGAGTGATAGTGTTCAGCTGCAAGAATTGTTAAGGTATCACGTCTCAGACAAAATCAGATGCTGAGGTCTTGACCCTCCACCCCCCAGGCTGAAGGAGAAGTAAAGTGAACCAGTGCTGGTGGCACTCATCTGGCCACAGTGATTGGCCCAAGAGAAGACAACCAAGTCTTCTTCACAGGGCTCCCTAAATATATGAAACAGCCATCCTATCTTCAGTCACAGAAGTCGTCAGTCCATGGCCACCAGCAGAGCTAGATGAGCGTATCAAGCAGAAATTCTTTTTTTTTTTAAATTTTTATTTATTTTATGATAGTCACCGAGAGAGAGAGAGAAAGAGAGGCAGAGACACAGGCAGAGGGAGAAGCAGACTCCATGCACCGGGAGCCCGACGTGGGATTCGATCCGGGGTCTCCAGAATCGCGCCCTGGGCCAAAGGCAGCAGAAATTCTAAGAGGGTGCCAGAAGTGCTCATGAGCTAGGCAATTATTTGATGGGGGGGGGGGGGATAAGAACTATATCTGTAGGGGCACAATTTCTGTGAGTAGATGGAACACAGCAGGCTAGAGCCTCTCCAGCTCCTGAAGAGGATGCTTGGCAATAGCTGGACAGTATGTCCGTTGTGTTCCCCCATGCTTGTCACAGTAGGAAGTGGTGGTTAGATAGATGGAACACAAGTCAGGTGAGGGCTGGGAGACCAGAGCATGTTCCTGACCCCCCAGACCAGACCCAGGCAGGAAGTACGGGGCAGTGCGGGGTGCTGTGACTCATGCTTTGGCTTGCTATCTTCCGAGCCCCGATACCAAGAACAAGACGAGAAGGGATGGCAATCGAGGGTTCCAGAACATTACTTTGCCAAAGGGCTCTTTCTGAAGAAGGCATTTGAAGCATTTACTTTGTAATGATTCTCTAAACCATATATGTGTGTTTCGCACGCTCTGCTGTCTCCATGAAATATCTCCCAGTAATAAAAGAAAGCATTTGGAGTTGTAACGTTAGAAGAGAATTATAGAGGCTGCTTATTGTGTTTATAGGTACTCCTGTTACTGGGCAGGTGTGCTAGTAAGAACATCTTGTAGTATTCTGATTCCATCTCTCTGAACTCATTAGGTCTTTCCTAAAATTTATTATTTAAAATTTTAAAAATATTTTATGAATCACACACAGTACTCTGGAATACCAAAGGGATTCTCTGCTTAAACCCCTGCCTGTTAACCAAGACACTAGTCTTGAAAACATTTAAAGGAATAAAGCTCATGTGAGTTTTAAAATTTATACTCAAAATAGCCTGTTATACGAACTCTGTATCTGTGAAAATATTTTTTTCAGAATTGTAGTTTAAAATCACTTTTATCGGGGATCCCTGGGTGGCACAGCGGTTTGGCGCCTGCCTTTGGCCCAGGGCGCGATCCTGGAGACCCGGGATCGAATCCCACATCGGGCTCCCGGTGCATGGAGCCTGCTTCTCCCTCTGCCTATGTCTCTGCCTCTCTCTCTCTCTCTCTCTGTGACTATCATAAATAAATACAAATTAAAAAAAAAAAGATTTAAAATCACTTTTATCATTATAAAGAAGTACAGAGATAATTCAAAATGAAAACAATACCCTCATTACCTGGGTGCTGTTAATTATTAATCCTCTAGTGTATATGCTTTTAGATATTTTTCTATGTGGATTTTTTTTACACAAGTGATATCATAGAACAGAACCATAAAACAGGTTTATAATAACATTGAGAGGAGGAGGTAGATTTCTCTGTGCCAACGCCCCACATACATAGTCTCTCCCCTTATCAACCTCACTCACCAGAATGGTACTTTTTTTTTTTAACCAAGGATAAACCTATATTGACATATCATAATCACCCAAAGTCCACAGTTTACCTTAAGATCCACTCTAGGTATAGTATATACTGTGGGTTCAGACAAATGAATAAGGACATATGGCCATTATATCACACCGCCCTAAAACCTACTTTTTCAGTTAATGATTTTATTTCTTTTTTTTAGACTAATACATTTTTGAAATTTTTTTAATAATAAATGTATTTTTTATTGGTGTTCAATTTGCCAACATACAGAATAACACCCAGTGCTCATCCCGTCAAGTGCCCCCCTCAGTGCCCGCCACCCATTCACCCACATCCCCCGCCCTCCTCCCCTTCCACCACCCCTAGTTCATTTCCCAGAGTTAGGAGTCTTCCATGTTCTGTCTCCCTTTCTGATATTTCCTACCCATTTCTTCTCCCTTCCCCGCTATTCCCTTTCACTATTATTTATATTCCCCAACTGAATGAGAACATATAATGTTTGTCCTTCTCCGATTGACTTACTTCACTCAGCATAATACCCTCCAGTTCCATCCACGTTGAAGCAAATGGTGGGTATTTGTCGTTTCTAATGGCTGAGGAATATTCCGTTGTATACATAAACCACATCTTCTTTATCCATTCATCTTTTGATGGACACCAAGGCTCCTTCCACAGTTTGGCTATTGTGGACATGGCTGCTAGAAACATCGGGGTGCAGGTGTCCCGGCGTTTCATTGCATCTGTATCTTTGGGGTAAATGATTTTCTAATCACTGAATTTTTTCAATCTCATCTAGAACTTAAGTCAATGTATAAATTTCAAAAAATCCTTTTCAGTAGGTTGATCCAAATCTGGGACTATATGTCACATTTGCCTTAAGTGTTGGTTAGTCTAGAACAATCCTTTTCTTTCTTTCTTTCTTTCTTTCTTTCTTTCTTTCTTTCTTTCTTTCTTTCTTTCTTTCTTTCTTTCTTTCTTTCTTTCTTTCTCATTGGACTCGAAGAGATAAAGCCTGGCATCCTGCATAAAATGCTGCCTTTGGGGTTTTTCTAGTTGCTTCCCCTATAGTATTGTTCAGCATGTTGTTCTGTCCATTGTATCTATTATGAAATGGAAGTGGAATCTGTACTTGTGGTAGATTGAGGTTCAACATCTGTAGTAAGAATACATTACAGACAGCGATATTTGTCTTTGTACCATCGTGCATCAGTATAACAACAACCTGATTCCCCCCTGCCCCATGTGTGTGCAGTTGTATTTGTCCTCTTGCCACTGGAAATTAATCTGTGTGTTATACTACATTGGCATCACAAGAATGTCTAGTTTGGGGGGGTGGGGTTTCCAAGTAAGCTCTACGCCCAATGTGGGGCTTGAACTCATGATCCAAGATCAAGAGTTGCATGCTCTACCTACCGAGCCAACCCCATGTGCCAAATGTCCAGTTCTTTATCCAGCAATTTTCTTGCTGATTTTAGCATTAAGTGACCACCTTTGACTAAAGAAAGAATTACATTAGGGATATGAAACTATATTTTCTAAATTTGTAATCCCTCTCATATTTGTTAACTGGCATGTTCTGTGAAGTAGAGATTTCTCTCACATGCTGGGACTCTTAGATGACCCTGAAAGAGTTTCTTGTAATTGCCAGTTTTCAAAGTTAGGAGCTGTTCGATAGCAGCCTCAGATGAGATGTTGGAAGAATTTAATAAGCATTTGTTTTAAATGTGGTTACTGCAAATATGATTTCTTGAGTACTTCCTGTATATCAGGCTCTGTGTGAAAGGCTTTTTGGAACCTGATTCTTTATGACAACACACTGAGGTTTAGATTTAGAAATGGTGATCTCGAGAGGTGAGATAACGTGATAGAGTTACTCCTGGGAGAAGTAGCAGAACTGGGATTTGAACCCAAATTGGTCTGAGCCCAAAAATCCATGCTTAATTCCATCTCTCTGTTTTTGTGTACTTTACTTAAAAGCCAAATTCTACTTGTAATCCCGTGTGGAATGTTTCCCAGTTTATAAACAGCAGAAATGGAAAGTATGCTTAACAATTTTCATGAGGTCTCTTTTATCTCTCCCTTTTTAATTTTATTTTTAATATTTTTTAATAGTGTGAAGAGAATACAAATCTTCAGGATACTACCCGCTACCTCAAACTTCCCTTTTCCAAGGGCATCCTCCTTGGAAATAATCACCAAGCCATGAAGGCCACAAAGGAGTCTTTTTGGATAACATCTTTTCTCTGTTCCACAAAACTCACACAGAATGGTAACGTTTAATGCTGTTTTATTTGAAAGCCCTTGTACTTAAGCACTCGTGAGAATTTTGGCAGGCATGTTTAACAAACACTAGTGTTATATTGGAGAACTTTGCACCAGAAAAACTGTTGGTCCTTCTGTTTGTGACCTCCAGTAAAATGGAAACCGTTGTGCCCCGATGGTCTGTTAATGCATGTAATTTAAAGACTTCAAAATTATCCCAGTATGGAAACCCAAGTGCACAAGGCATCAAAACCCAGCTGCTTTTTAAAAAGAGGAAGACAGAGAGACAAAGGATACCACCACCTTAATCTCTCTTGTTTTATAGCACCATAAACAGTGCTGATTGCAGGCTTTGGAACAAGGGGCTGTTTTTAGCTTAATTAGATGGATATTGCTTTTCTCTTCTACCATATTTTTTATGTCAGTGATTGTTTAGCAAGTTATGATTAATAAAACAAGCTCTTCTCCTTGGAAAATTGTCATGAAAACATCATCTGTAATGAAGGAAGGAAATTAAATATTTTTGAATTCTTCATGGTTGCTATATAAGGCTTCTGGCTAGCATTCAGAGTGCCGCATTAATAAGTCAGACTCATGATGTTGAGGAGAGTCACTTCGTAATAAGGTATTGAATCTCACAAAGTGTCCCTGGGCCTCAGCATTGGTAAGTGCTTTTAGCTCTTTCTTCTGTGTCACAGAACAGCATTTGTAGGAGGAAACACGGTTCCTCTCTAGAACGTGGCCTGAGAAAAGAAGTAAAATGTCACACCATAACGTTGATCTCTTTTAAGATCCCTTTCGATTTCTCTTGTGGCGCTGTTATATTTATGTAGGACTTCGGCAAATGATCCTTTCACATTTGTACTAGTTTTTGTTTCTCCCCTTCCAAAAGTATTTTTGGGGAAAAATTTTTTAAAAATCAGCTGCCTATTTTTAGTGAATTTGGTTGAAGGTAGCCATCACCAAGTTAAGAAACCTCAAGACTTGATCTGTATTCAGGGATTAATGGTTTTCCTTAAATTAAAACTTCACTGACAGATCTCTATAATGTTTACAAAGCATTCACCAAACAGCAGATGTTTTTTTATGGTGCTAGTCCACCCTACAGAGATTTTGAAGATAAGAAAATCAACCTGCTATTTATTTACTCCCTTAGACAGAAAATCTATTTATTCTGCGCGGATTAGTTGTATGTCTGCTATACAACCTAGGTTCACATTTAACTGATCGATTACTCTGGTAGAGGAATTTCAGGTTGTATTAGTTATCTCTTGCTGTAGTGATAATTACTATAAACTCATTATTGGCTTCAAACAACAAAAATATATCTTTGAGCGTTTCTGGAGGTCAGAAATCTGAAATCCTTTTCATTGGACTAAAATCAAGGTGTCATCAGAACAGCATTTCTCCTGGAAACTGGGGGAGAATCCTTTTGCTGCCCTTTGATAGCTGCTAGCTGCATTCCTTGGCTCACAGCCCCTCCTCCATCTTCAGAGCCAGGAGCAGAGCATCTTTACATGTTCATGACTCTGACCATCTTCTCTCTCTTAAGGATCCTTTTGCTTTACAGGGGGCCCACTGTATTATTCCAGGATAGTCCCCCCTGTTTTAAGACTTTTAACTTAATCACATCTGTGAAATCTCTTTTCTCATAAAAGGTAAACATATTCACAGGTACCGGAGATGAAGACATTGACATCTGTGGGGCCATTATTTTGCCACCCACCCAGATAATCCTAACAATAATAGCTGATCTGCCATCAAAGTATTTGGCCCTGCAGACTTAATTTGTTCTTGTTCTCAGGTTTAGGATGTCAGACAGAATTGTGAACATAAAACTGAACCAAAACCTAAAACTTAGGTTTGTAAAAACAGAGAACATTTTCAAGTAGATACGGGTAAATAAACCTATTCAGAAATCATTATTTTAAACATCTCACTGTGTGGAAGGCAATGCTTGGCTCATTTTTGGACACTTGATAAGTGGTTAATTATCATTTGACTTTGATTACCCTTGTCAATGTAACAAAGCCCAAAATGAACCAGGAAATAAATACTGTGTTTCAAAGAGATGGGAAGAAGGAAGTTAGTTGATCTTTCTGAAATTTACATGCTAGACACACATTTCTGACCAGGAGTAATCCAGTTCCAAATTGGAATTAAATTGCTTTGTATTCATTTTACTCAAATTGGAAAATACACAAATCCCATTTCCATTACAACCGGGCATTTAGCAAGTGATATGGTCTCTAGGAACAATTTCTTATAGAAGATTTGCATTTCAGGATCCTGAAAGTGTGTCTGTCTGCACATATTCCGTATTCCAGTTTGTTCATGGATAGCATACCAAGGCCAGAGCTCCCTGCCGAACATCTGTGGTTGCCAGATCAAGTAGATATTTTAAGCTTCTTAATGTAGGGATCAGGGAAGAAATTTTTTACTTCTTTGTTTTCTTCCTAGGGCTGTTACACATAACTTTTAAAAAGTCTAAAAATAAAAAACAGTGCTTAAATTTAGCCTACCAGTTAGTTGTACAGTTGCTGACTTCCGCACGTCCCCTTCTCCCCCAAATAATGGGCGGTTCATTCAGTCTCTTCCTGAGAGTGTGATCTAAAAGAAAAGGAAGAAAAAGAAAAAGAGTAGGGATTATGTCATCCACCTATTTTCTAGCTCTTGATAGATGAAACATACTCTATAGTCTAAAACGCTTGCTGAATGGAATACTTCAAAATCACAGTTTTCAGCAATAGGGCCATAGCTCTTAATTTGCAACTAATGTATCTTCAGGCAGCTAAAAGAGAGACCTAAGAGATGACAGTTTTGACTTAATTCTGAGCACTTTGTACACATGATTAATTACATCCAGATGAACACACTGCTTTACTCTTCCGCTTCCCCCATTACGAGCAGCCTACAGAGTCATCAGACTGCTCGCAGGAAAGGTCAACAGCCCCATTCCGATCTGATTGTCTGGACCACTGTCATCTCTTCTCCGGCTCTGCTAGGACAGTGCTGGTCTTGGTTTCCCACTGCAGCCGCTGGGGAGGCCTCTCGCAGGCCTGCAGAGCCACCTCCTTCCTCTGCACACACTCCGCTCCTCACGCCGGGCTTTGCCCTGGATGCCCCTGCAACAGCCTGGCTCTGGGGGGGCAAGAAAGAGAGGAGCGAGAGGGAGTGGCAGGGATCATGCAGTGGGGAACTGGAAGGGAGGATGCCCGGGTTGGAATTAGGAAGGAAGCGCAAGGCAGGAGCTGATGGGAGAATGCAGAGCCACTTCTGCTGTGGCGCATCTCCACTTGTGGAAATACCTGATATTCTAAATATAACCAATGATTTTTTTTTTAATGGTTCCAATCCTACCTCTAGGATGTCTGAATGAGACATGAATAGTAAACATTTTCCGATTTTTTTCCACTGTGGAAATATGACAAAATTTTTTCAAAATCGTTATTCTTAAAATTGCCTCATTTTCCTGATTCTGAACCATCCTCTTATCCCTGTTTGATGTAGATCAATATTTCCATTTAATACTAAATTTCTCACTATTAAGTCCTTTGTGAAGTTTTTCTCTTGAATCTGGCTTTGGTGAACGTTGCTTCTTTTTCCTCTGAAGATTGTTATACATTTTCTCATCTCTTTTTGCTACATCATTTATTTATTTATTTATTTCATCACAGCTACTTCTTCCTTGGTTTCTTGTTTTTGTTTTCTTCTAGTTTTTGTTTCCATGTTGGTCTTTCTGTGTCTCGGCAAGTCCCATTTGGGTCTTTCCTGAAAGAGTGCTTTCAAGCGAACTTCTCCCTATTAAGGCTGGAAAATCCCTCCTGGCTTCTTTCTTGGCTGTTCTAGTCTGTCAGCCTCACTGAGCCCTGGGAAGCCAGCCCTGCCAGCTTCCCTCGCCTTGTGCGCTTCCTGCATACACAAGCCTTGTCAGTTCTGAACTGCTTTCATTGGCTTTCAGACACCATTGTCTCTCTGCTCCTTCTGGAGACTAGTGAAGCTGGACACCATGCTCAGGAGCCTTTCTAACTTATGCCCAGGAAAGCTGAGAGAAGGATTTTTTTTCCCTCACCAGGTGCAGAGGTTCTCAGAGGACTCTGTTAGACTCAGGCCCATGTCTTGTCAGTTTAGGAAAGGGAGAGACTTGAAGAGCTCAGCCCTGCGCCTGCCCAGAATCTGGGATGGATGATGACCGTGGAGTCCAAGAACTGGCCCTCTTCAGCTCCACGGGCTCACTCGATGACCCGACAATTGACTAGACTTGTCATCGTTGTGCAGGGGACCTTCTAGTCCTGCCTGGTTTGGGTCACATTGTCCAGAAGACCTTCATTGCTGGGTAGAATTCATTGCTAGGCAGAGTGCTATGTGTTCGGGACACAAACAGGACTAAAGCAGCTTCCTGACCCTCAAGAAACTCCCATTTTAACAGGAGGAGGCAGAAAATGATTCCATAGATATTTATCAACTGCCTCCTATGTGCTGCTCTGTACCTGTGCTGGGATGCCATAGGGCCAGACTCCGCATGTCTGTTGTGTTGTGTTGTGTTGTTTGTTTGTTTTCCCTTGGAGTTTACAAACTAGTAGGGGCAAAGACCGGTAAACAACTGAAATAGTTGGGGTCATTGCCACTTTGGGATGAGAGCACATGGTGGGGCCAGTTGGCTCAGTCTGGAGATTTCAGGAAAGACTTCTGGATGAGGCAACAGCTACTCTGGGAACTGAAGGATGAGTAGGAGTTTGTAAATCAAGAGCATTGGGAAGGGAGAAATAATTAGAATACATTGTAATAAATGCCATCCTAGAGAGCTAGTCGTGGTCTGGGGGAACTTGAAACTTAGATGACTGGGAAGAGTAGGTAACGTGTAAGAACCTAGCTTTTACCAGTGAAATATTTTCACATGACGGACTATTCTCTGCTAAGGCAATTAATCTTCCTTTTCTGTTTGAAAAGGTGATATGCTTGATCTCTTGAAATGGAGAACCCACCCAGACAAGATCACAGGCTGTCTCTCTAAATTAAAAGAAATTGATGGCTCAGAGATAGTAAAGGTATATGCTATTTTGTTATCCCTCTCTTGGAAATTCATGGAATAAAGAATATTTGGAGGGGAAGGACAGGTGATATTTTCTTTATTGATTTACTTCTTTATCTGACAGTTTCTGCAAGATACACTGGATACCTTATTTGGAATTTTAGATGAAAATTCCCAAAAATATGGGTCTAAAGTATTTGATTCGTTGGTGAGTTTAAATTCACTTTAATTATATCTTAATTTTGTCTTTTGGTCTTGACCAAGACTTTCTGAAATGCACTTAATAGCTTAAGAGTCACTTAAAAAGAACCAAAAAAAAAAAATCTTGATTTGCATTCAGTTTATAAAGCTCAATTTTCTTTTTAGGTTCACATAATAAATTTGCTGCAAGATAGCAAATTCCATCATTTTAAACCTGTAATGGACACCTACATTGAGAGTCACTTTGCTGGGGCACTTGCATACAGGTAAGGCCTTTATCTTGTAATTGGTTCGGAAGCAGATCCTTTTGAGCTTTTCTAGGCAGAACCAGCAATATAGGAAAGTTTAAAAGAAAGTGTAGGAAGAAATGAAGCACAGCAACTGAAGTGTCTCTTGAGTCAGTCTCTTCCTTTCTCACACATCTTTTTTTAATGGCTGCAACTTACTTTGATTAAAAGAGAAAAAAAAAAACTTTCTTAATTCTATTCCTAAAACCTAACATATAAAGTGTTTTCTTCTTGTCTCTATTTCATGTGATACGCTTTGGTCTGAAATAACTGGTTATTTCAGTTTGGCTGCCAAGAACTCCATTTAACCACCACGTTCCTTGGGGATTCTAGAAGTCTTTACGAACAAGAGGTGAAGGGAAAACAGCCTTTGCCATCATACCTTTTTAACTCATTCATTCATTTATCTTCATGTATACTGAGTACCTACTGTGTGCCTAGTGCATGCTGATTAATGTGAAGACCGGATTCCTGGCCACAAGCAGTGCAGCCTTGGACTCCACCCTGTGATACAAGCTGCCGTTTTAACTGCTCATCCCTTCTGATGAGCTCAAACTCTGCAGGCAAGGCTAAAGCAAATGAGTAATGACAAGCTGTAGCTCCTACCTGCCTCCCTGCAGCCTGGTTGATAATTGCCAGAAGGCAACAGCTTCTCTCCTGTGCTATGTATAATATCTTCCCGGGCTTTGGCCCTGCTTAAATACAGCCCTGGAATGTTCCCCCAAAGTTCTTTCTCCCCATTCTAACACTGCCATTGCTACTCTGCCCACGTTTGTACCTCATCCCTTACGCACTATGGCTGTGCATTCGAGCCTTTTTCCCAGAAGTGTGTTTAAAAAGATTGAATCATGTTTTTGCCCGTTTTTCCCCATCATGTGTTATATAAAAGATAGTAAGTAATCAAAGAAGCATCTGATCCTATTACCTTGGATATTCCCTATCAAGGCACATGAAGATTTATGCCTCCAACATTTAAGTGAACGGTATGTCAACATGATTTTTACAGAGGGTGAAATGTACTATCAGGGACCGTTTGGGACGTTGGCCCCACTGTACCACTCGGCCTAACATTTGGGGCCCTAGTAGCACCTCACCATTTGTGATTGAAATTACCAGTGGAAGCTAGAGAGGAAGGGCGTAATTTCTAACACTTTGTGTTGGCCAGGAGAGCAGGATAATCATTCCTAATAAGACAGGTAAGGCCTATGGAATCTTCTCAGGCTATGGGTGGTCAGAGACTCACTGACATTTATCTTCAAAATAACATTCCTGGCAGCACCTGTCTAGTAGAACATCCATGTGCTCTTTTCTGACTGAGAGAAAAGAGGAGCATTTTTAAAAATTGCTCTGTTTCCCAGAAACCAAGAACTAAACAAAGGTAAAGGTAGGAAGACTGCAATCTTGAGAATTATTGTTGGTTTTTTTTTAATTCTCTTTTTGTTCCTTAAAAAAACAAAACAAAACAAAACAAAAAACAACTTGACTGTTTTGGAAATTCTCTTACTAAGGTGCTCTGAGGGTAAGTCTTTTTCTTCCCACAGGTCAGAGAGTTGGCTAGATAAACCCACAGGCATGTGACTTGAAGTAGAAAGATGTTCCCTTATCCTTCCCCACACCCCCTTTTGCCTCCAACTGAATATTTCATCCAGCTATTTACATGGTCACTGGGGAAGAAATCCGAACTAGCAGTTGTCCAGGATTGACCATGATGGTCAGACTTCCAGATTTCTTGGCCAGACACCTTTTCTCTGGTAATTGTGTTTGCCCATTGGAAAGCTTTGCCAGAAAACAGCAGAGTCAATGGGATATATCCATACTGAAGAGAATCTCAATGGGAGGAAGCGTTTCTCTCTGCATCTTCAAAAAGGGGTAGTGATGCTGATGTGCAGATTCCTAACATTATTAGATCAAGCAGTTCGACAGAAAATGGTGAGAACCGATGGGAAAAGAAGCCTCCTTGTGATAACAACGTTTGATTTGTTGGCTTTTACCTAAGAACTCGACCAAGTCCACCTTCTGTACATTTTCCCCTGTATTTTAGAGATCTCATCAAAGTTCTCAAGTGGTACGTGGACAGGATCACGGAAGCGGAACGGCAAGAGCACATCCAGGAGGTGTTGAAGGTAATGATGTGCTGTCAATAACAGATAATATAGTCTAATGGAGCTGTTGCATGATGCTGCCTAAACTAATTGCTTTCCTCTACACAGACAGTAATTGGGGATGATATATTACTGGCATTCCAATTCAAGGCTCTTAATCAGTTTATGCTCCTCCAGAGCTGATGAAATTTGAAAGAAACTTTGCCAGGCTCACCCACTGGAACTGCTTGGGATTGAATCCTTATACCTCTGAGCTCCAGAACACTCGGAGTGAAGTCTAGGATTAGCAGGAGGGAGGTTTCATGACAGAAGACCACACATAGGCAGTTAAGCTTGGGACTTCCTGGGTCTCGCTTCCAATACCCTGACAGAGGCCATTTGAGGGCGATTTTGAAAGGGGATAGGGTGGCTTAGCAGGGGTCACATTGAGGAGACCTGAGGTTTTGCTGGGTCTCATGGTTTAATGCTGCCCAGGTGTCTGGACCCTTTGTGTTCAGTTGTATATGGAGATGTTAACACTTTACTTGCAAACATGTTCATAAAAGAACATAGGCTCTTTTTTTTTTTAAGATTTTATTTATCCATGAGAGACACACAGAGAGAGGCAAACACACAGGCAGAGCAAGAAGCAGACTCCCTGAGGGGAGCCCGATGCGGGACTTCATCCTAGGACCCCCAGGTCACAGCCTGAGCCAAAGACAGATCCTCAACCACTGAGCCACCCAGGCATCCCAAGAACACAGGTTCTTAAAGGGATTGTCCATTAGCTGCTCTGAGGGTCCTCTGATGTCCTATTGTTGAATGCTGCTCTATTTGAGGTCACTAGATAGAAGTTGACAGGTATAATTTTTAAACAAGTCTTTTACTGATTATAAATCTATCGCCTTGGACTGATTGGAGGTAAAATGCTAAGTGGCAAGAGTACCTGCCAGCAAAACACAGTAATTTTTGAGAAACCAACGTATCTCTCTGTTAACTAAATTTTAAAAACCACCTGAGGATCAAAAGCATTTCAAGTTCATACATCTTGAAAATTACAAAGGATTTTCAAATTATCTATACCTTTTCTCTCACTAGCATCAGAGAAAAAAATGGCTCTTTGCCCACAAGTAAATACTGTTCGAAAATCTCATGGAGTCTTAGCATTTAAATCAATAATTTAACAATCTAATGCTGTCCGTGGTTTTTATGCCGTGTCATTGTTAAATGCTCTTGGTTTCTTTTGAGACTAACTTTTAAAATGTTTTGTTTTAAGGCACAAGAATATATTTTTAAGTATATAGTGCAATCCCGAAGGCTCTTCTCCCTTGCTACTGGTGGACAAAATGAAGAGGAATTTCGCTGCTGCATTCAGGAGCTCCTTATGTCGGTCCGTTTCTTCCTTTCTCAAGAGAGCAAAGGGTCAGGAGCGTTATCTCAATCACAGGTAATGTCTTTTTCGGCTCTGCTCAGTAGAGCAAAAATGAGTCCAGTTTATTTGTGTTTACACAGCAGCAGAAGCGAATGTTTTCGCCGACGAGAAATCCATAGCTCCAGTTTATATTTGTAGCGTAAGCAACTTTGCAGACTTTTAAAAGGTCCCCTAGCCTCTGAGCCCCAGCAGAAGTTAGGTTGCCTTTCCTCCAACTGTTCTCCTTCTTCTTGGGGAGACCGTTGGTCTGCAGCAGCCTGGATTTCAGTTCCCAGAACACATGCCGATGAGTAGACACGCTGTCACCATCAGCCTTGGGGAAGGAAGTTCACTGGAGCTGACTTGTTACTGTTGTTTACTCCAACCCTTGCACTGCATTTTAATCTGTCAACTTGAGACTCATTATATTGGACTTGGCTAAACTGCATGTTGTTTTGTTTTATTTAACTTGACCCTAGTTGTCCTGGGACTGGTCTTGTATGACCAGTGCTGAGAGGCTGTTGCCACATGCCATTACCTGAAGTAGCTCCACATGTTCTGTTTGAGAATGGGATTTAGCCACTTTCCAAGTGGCTTCAAGTGTTGGCCTTGAAGTGTTCTGAGCAATCGGTCTCAATATCTACTCTACATTTTCTTAATCCTTTTGATACACTTTGAGTTCTAATGACTTGGTTAAAAAAGCCTGTCAGATGGAGAAGCAGCCTCTTTGCTGCCATCCCCTGGAGAGTAGAGATTGATAATCACCGAGAATTAGGGGAAAGAAATGGGAGATTGGGAGATTAGAAGACAAAACTAGATCCCTTAGAGTATCATCATAATTTTGTGCCATTTGACATTTGGAAGGCATTACATAGAATGGTAAAACAGCAGAAATGTACCAATCTTCCAATAGCGCTGTGCTTTTTCTCACTTTTGGGGGCTATTCTTGCTAATCTCTTCTTTACACAAGTGGACGGATCTTACATCTGGGCAAGGATACAACTCAGGCCCTTTAAATGACATTTTGGGCTCTATTGCCAATAGTGCAATCACTGCACTTAAGGAACTTGCCAGATACCTCAAAGTCACATTGCCCACTAGCTAAACCCTACTTCCTGCAGTAGATATTTGAAAAGGATAACCCAACAAGCTACTTATGTATTCCTTTAAATAAAAGTTCTCAGTAACTCACTACTTTTATAAAAGCTATTATATTTGAGACTTCTTTTTTAATCTTAAACCTTTACCGGTTAAAGGGACAAACTTATCTAATTCACATCTGAAAAATATTCTCTTACTTTTAAGAGTAACCGTAAGTCATGGTTTCTCAATGACATGCCTTCCTAGGGACTCAAGAGGTTTTTATTTTTCTCTTCTATAATGTTAGAGAAATATTCTTTTTCCTTAAGTTATGTTTCCACTGCATCTCAGTAGTTGTCCTGAACTGAAAATATGAGCCCACGTGATGTGATGATTTTCTTTTAGTTTGATCCTAAAAGACTTCATCTAAAACGATGAAGTGGTTAGCTTTCTTTATTAAGCAAAGAGGACTTCCTAGTCCCTCTGTATTTTGGGAGAGTGGGGAATACTTTACACTTTGCTTATTCCAAGTCCCCTCTTGACCCCACACCTTCATAGCTCTCTTTTCTCAGAAGGAAGGTGTCACTAATATGATTGACACTGTGTGTGATTTTTTTCTGTTGTTGCCTAACACATAACCACGGGCTTAATGGCTTTATATAACATCCATTTATTAGCGCACAGTTCTGTAGATCAGGAGAGTAGGGTGGATTTTTTGCTTGGGATCTCCTACAGCCAAAATCCAAGTGTTGGCCTTGATGGCTTCTTTGGAAGTCCTGGGGAAGAATTCATTTTCAGAATCTTCCAGGCCTTTGGTAGGAAACAGTTTCCTTGTGTTCATAAGACTGAGATTCCCATTTCCTTGCTGGTTATCAGCGAGGGGTTGGGAGTGGGGAGAGGCCTTCTCACTTCTAGAGCCCATTCACATTCCTTGGTATGTGTGGCCCCTCCATCCTCAAAGCCAGCAACAGTAGGTCAGATCCTTCTCATGCTTCAGATCTCTCTCAGTTCTCCCACCATGAGCTAGAGAAAACTTCTGCTTGGAAGGGTCATGTCAGTAGGACAACCCCATATGAATAATCTGCATATTTTAAGATCAACTCATTAGTAACCTTCATTATACCTGCCAAGTTGCTTTTGCCATGTAATATAACAAAGTCCTAGGAACAGCGCCAGGGTGAAAAAGTCTTGGGAGTCATCTTAGAATTCTATCACACCCAGAGCCAAGGAAACCCACTAGTCTGAATTTTACTGTTAAATTGCCTTAAAGACAAAAACCTGGTTCCCTTGCTCTCCTCTGCATGGTTTTCCCTGTAGGCTACAACTCAGGGCAATTTTTGTCTTCTGGAGGTAGAGCAACCATCCCAGAAAACCTTCACATTGAATCCGTTTCTAGTGCCCCCACAGATCTGGCCCCCATGGTTCTACTGGGATGCCCTAAACCCAGCTCACTCATGACTCTGTCTTTGGGATCCCTGCCCCAACAGAACTGCCATTTCACTCAGCTCTTGGAGCTGTGGCTCTTGGTTTTCCTTCCACAGATAGATACCTATCCTGGATCCCTCAGAGCAGAAGAGGAATGTCAGGAGTTGAGGCCCAAGACCCTGCCCCAAGTTCCTAATAATTACCTTTATCTATTTGTCTTGGTTATCAGGAAGATCAAAACAAATGTAGGCTTTTCTTTTTATTTGCAATGAAAATCCTTTAGGTAGCTTGGTCCAGCTGTCTCTCTGTCCTTATCACAAGGTGCTTGTTCCTTTATCCTTTTTAATACATGTGTCTCCACTTCAGGCACATTCACATGCTTTTTTGAAGAGCTATAAGTATAAAGAATTAATGGATAAATGAAAAGATTCCTCAGGAAAATCAGCATAGTTGCCTTTTCAGTAATCAGCTGGGCTCATTTTATTGTTTTTTTTTTTTTTTAACTCATCTGTATGACTCAGCTCTTTGCAGATGAAATGAAGGTTATATAAATATCGTCTTTAACAGAGAATACCAAGTTATTAATTTTAAATGCATTCAAGTAAATCTATAATGTCTAAGAGTCAAGGAGAGCATAGCTGTCAGTTGTAGCACCTGAAGCATTTTGATGGTTCTGGCATCAAAAACAGGTCTTGGCTCTTCTAGATATTTTTGCTGCTGCTGTATAGATAAATGCCAAAACCCATGAATTTGAATTTGAGTCTGCGTTTGAATCATCAGCACATGTACACTCGACCTACTTTCTGCTGGTGTCAGGTCTCATTGGTGAGCCAGCTAGCGCTTGAATATCAGCATATTAGAAACATGTGCCTCCTTCCCCCACTTCATAGACTTGAGGTTGGTTGACGCTTCCTTCCATTGCCCTCCTTTTGTGGAATTTAAAAGACTAGGTTTGTTTTGATGTACAATCCCAGCCCAGTTTGTGCCCCTTAGGATTTAATACTGGCGTCTTTTTTTTTCCCCCTTAAAAAATGATTATCAGGTTTCTTCACTTACATAAAGAATATTGTTCTGAGTACACACAGTTCTGGGGTTACAATAAATCCCAAAACAACCTAAAGGTTAGTTATAATAATCTTTTCATTTTACCGGTGATAAAGCTGAAACCCAAGCGGCTAAAATGACCTGAGGTCACAGAGTTGATTAGTAGCAAAGCTAGTAGGATATACAATCTAGGTCTACTGAGTCCCTGTCTCGTTTCTTTCTTTAACCATAACTTCAGTGCTTTTGGGAATCAATGTGTTTGGTTTCTTAAAGGTAAATGAGAGTTATATGAGCTCTTCAGAAACCATCTCCAAAAAGAAATGAACTATAAGTGACTGCATTCCAGGTCTTGGTTGAGCATTCTTTCCATTCGATCATGCTGCATTTTGCTGATTCTATGGGATTTTTTGCCAATCATTTTGCTAATGTCAGTGATTTTCCAGAAATTCTCAGTTTTATTATATTGCACCCTGGCACATTTAAAAATACTGTTCTAATTTGCTACACTTTTTAAAAAATGGCAGCCTTTTAGCTTTAGGCACCAGAAATGTTTTACGTTCGTTTTTTTAATCATTCACAATTATTTGTCACAGTCTTAAATTCATTGACATTTTATAGCAGATTTCTCTGGGTGTATATTGGAGTTGATTTACATTTCTTCCTTTTAAGGCTGTGTTTCTGAGCTCCTTTCCAGCTGTGTACTCAGAACTGCTGAAGCTCTTTGATGTCAGGGAAGTGGCCAACTTGGTGCAGGACACCCTGGGCAGTCTGCCGACCATCGTACATGTAGATGACTCCCTTCAGGCCGTTAAACTGCAGTGCATCGGCAAAACCGTGGAAAGCCAGCTTTACACCAATCCAGGTAGGGTGATGAGTCTCTTTCCAGAAACAATGTTTCTGGAAAGCCATTACTTACCTGCAGTAGTCATAGTTCAGCAGAAGCAATGAGAAAGAGGAAACAGAAAATTCCTTTCTCAGAAGCATTGTGTATTTGGATAGTAGGATGAATTTATTTAGTAGCCAAATACAGTGGTATGGCTATTAAAACTTTATTTCCAGAAAGAATGAAAACCCTAATGATTAAATTGATTCTAATCACAAACTAGTTGTGATATCAGGCATGCTTATTTTCTTGTTATAGATTTCATTTTTTTGGTTCAATAAAATGTAACATTTACATTCAGAGATGTTTACAGGGACCTGATCCTTGTTTGTTTGTTTTGTTCTTAAAATGTTTCCATCGATTTATGTTCTGAAACTGAGTGAAAGTTTTGATGTGTTATCATTTTTTATTTTATCCTAGTAGCAAATGACCAGTTACTAAGTTGATTTTATCATAATATCTGTTATTAAATCCCATTGCCTTTTGTTTTCTTCTAGTTTTTCCTGAAATAAAGTACCAGCCTCATTTTAAAGTTTATTTTAAGAAGTTTCTATCACTATCACCAAATAAACTTTTAAAAATTGACTCTATTGAAAATTATCTCTCCACATGAATACATATGTGTATATAATATTTTTGAAATAGCATTTCAAATGTAGCAAACAAAGCTTTTTTTTTTTACAGTATTTTATTGTAAAACCTTTTAAACATACAGACAAGAGTAGAGTATAAGATAGTAAATCATTAAATCTCAACAATACCAGATATTTGCTCTAGGTCTTTTATTAAGAAATTTGTCATTAGAGATATATTTAGACCCTCCTGCATGTACTTACTTATTTCAGAGAAATTCCCACTGTCAGAGACACCTGTTTTTATTTTCTATGCCTTTATTACAAATCTATAAAAATATTTTTTTCATCGTTTCAAATGTCTTTCACCATTTAGTCTTTATATGATGATATTATGTTGTATGACATTCTATAGAGGGCTCCTTTTTTAAAAAAAAAAAAAAAGATCTATTTATTTATTCATGAGAGGCACAGAGAGAGAGGGGGAGAGAGGCAAAGACATAGGCAGAGGGAGAAGCAGGCTTTTCGCAGGAGAGCCGAAGACAGCCGCCCAACCCCTGAGCCACCCAGGCATCCCTAGAGTGCTTCTTTTTGACTAATATTATACTTTTATATTTATCCAAGCTACTAGATACAGCTATAGTCCTTTTATTATTTTTATTATTATTGGATAGCATTCCACTCTGAACAAATTTATCATGGTTAATTTATTCTTCCTCCTGTTGATAGACTTTGTTTATGGTTTGTTTGGGTTTTCTTTTTTTTCCCTGAAATAATACTTCAGTGAATAAAAGAAATTTCAAACCTTCTAATTTCTCCCCAGGAAAACATCTCATCCTGGAGTAAAGCTGTTTCTTGCAGTGGTTTTCAAACTGCTCCTCAGAGACATGGAGGTTCTTCTGCAGTGACCCAGGGTTAGGAACAGAGGTGCAAAGTGTAGGGGGTAGAGGTCCAGGCCAGGTACCTGGTGTAACTAGAACACCAATTTTGCTTTCACCAAATCAAGAAAAGTTCACCTCATCTCAGAGGAATTGGTTGTTTCTGCCATATTTCTCCCTCACTGGCCAGTTAATTCTTTGTTAAAGCCTAACACCAAAAGAACAACGTAGATCATGAAAATTGTTCTCAAAGGTAAAGAAATTATCTGAAGGGATTGTGTTCATCGTATGCCTCTCTGAAATGTGTTCTGTCTGTGGACTCAGTTCTTACTGATTACTGATGCTTAGTTGGTGGTACAGAAATCAGGACTAAGGAGACACAAAGAGAAGAAGTTGTTTGAATCCAGGAGAAAAGTAATTGGGTCTTTGTGGGAGGTGGTGAGATTATGTCTTGAGGTGGGGGTGGATGGACTCAAGAGACCCAGGAAATGTGGATGTTGGAGTGTCTCTACTGGTGATGTGGAGGAGAGGCTCAGAGGCCATGTTGGGAGGTTGGTGACTGTGTCACTGTGCTGCAGAGGAGGAGGAGGAGAAGGGGAAACCTGCCTCTTGTGTTATGTGCGACGTTCCCCATGGAGGACGATTATGGAGAAACATAACCTTCTAGAGAAGCAGAAGCAGCTCCTGATCAATGGGACACCTAGAAGCATACAGATCTAGTAAAAGGAAAGACCTCCATCACTGCCCCAGGATGAGGTTTGGCTTGATGTTGAATGATTCACCATTGGAGAAAACAGAAACTTACATATAAATGGCAAGGCATATCGGAAACAGGTTGTCTTCATGAAAAGAAAACAGCAAATTTACCTGAGAACTTCCCAAGTCGCCAACTATGCTCTGCTTAAATTACCTGAGCACCAACACTAGCATTAGGGAAACCTGGAGAGTGTTTCTAGTAACTACTCCAAAATTCCAAGTTGGAAACTATGGACTTAGATGATAGATGGAGCCTATCTGTATTGTCCAGCTGAAATATGAGATGTTAGAGGAAAGGAAGGTGTGCAGTGCAAATAGTAGGCTCCATAGATAGTATCAAAGGACAGGATAGGATGTGTTAGGTTGTGATTAAGAGGAGAATGTAGATCCCGACATCTCGCAAACTTAGGCTGATTTTGTCTAGCTAGAGGGAGAAGAAGAAGGACAATATAAAACTATAGCTAAGGGCGTCGGGGAGAGGGATACAAAGAATTAAAAGGAATTCCTGTCGTAGGCCACCGCCAACAACAGGTAAAAGAATTTAAGTCTAACGTTTTGGCCTCTAATTAAGATTAAAAAAAAAAAGGCATGTATACACACACTTCTTAAAACAGAGGAAAGGTTTGGTTTGGTTTAGAGTATTTGGATGCCCCAGTTTTATCTTATATCCCCAGAAGTAAGTAACTGTAACCGAATGATAGAGAATGGGTTAAAACATACCTTGAAACTATAAACCTAGAGAATTGAATGGCATCACCAAAATTTGATGAAATCAGACCCTGTTCAGATACAGTTTGGGGGTACTAGTTTTCTGTTGGTACTGTAACAGTCACTACAAGTGTAATGGTTTAAAACAACATAAATTTTGTATCTTACAGTTCAGTAGCGCTGCAGTTCAAAATGCTTCCCCCTCCACTAAAATTAAGGAGTCCGCAGAGCTGCATTTCTTTGTGGAGGGTCTAGGAGAGATCTGTTTTCTTGCCTTTTACACCTGCACTCCTTGGCCTCTGGCCCCCTCCTCCATCTTTAAAACCTGCAGTGGAGCATCGCCAGCTCTCTCTCTCTGACTCAGCAGTCTCTCCTCTTTCACCTGTAAGGACCCCTGTGTTTACACTGGGCCGATCTAGATAATCCTGGGTAACCTCATCATCTCAAGACCCTTAGTCACTTATGCAAAGTCCATTTTGCCATTACATACTCACTGGTTCTAGGAATTAAGGCATGGACTTCTTTGGGGGACCATTAGTCTGTCTACCCTCAGATGGATAACCTGCATGTAAGAAGGTTAAAAAAGGAAAAAAAAAAAAAAAAAAAACACTTGGAAATCCATGAGTTTTATTTATGGATCGAAAGTTTTAAGGAGTGAGACTCAGAGTGCTGCACTTGTGTGACTATATGCATCTTAGCCAGGAGGATGGTACAAATGACACTTTCCCAATTTAAAATTATAAATCTAAACTAGGACAAGTTAAAGTAGAGATAAGGACACAACAGGGCATCAGCCGGACACATAATCAGTCAAAGATCAAGTACTTAGTTCTTGCCAGTTCCCATTTCTCAGAACATAGAGTATGGTGCAGACAGTTGTTACTCCGAGCTTGATCTGTGTGAAAACAAATGCAAACATCGAGGCCCAATTTAAGCAGTTTTCTTACCTTTTTTCCAAACTTTCCAACGCTGATTGGCATGAGCAAGCACATTACTGGGGAGCACTTGAAAGCCTTTCCCTCCAGGCCCGCTCCTCCCGTCTCAGTATATGGCAGCACCAAACCCTAGAAAGTTTGGAGCTGTCCTTGCAAACCTCCCCCCCTTCTGTCTTCATCCCCACCTCTCTTGGACTACTCTGGGGCCTCCACAGCATCTCACATCTGCCTCCGCCACCCCCGGCCCCCCGCCTGCCTGCCACGGGGCCGTTCCACACTGCCACCTTGCCTGCGCTCCCTCAGGTCCATACTTGCGTCCCTCTCCTTTCTCCCATCCTTTCTGGAACTCACGCCAGGTGATGTCACCCCCAGCTCCCTTGCTCGCATCCCTTGCTTGTGCTCTGTTTTGAGGACACAGAACAGACTTGGTCTTTCAGGCCCCGTGACCTCGCCCTGCCCACCTGCCTGGTCCCATGTCTTTATGCTTCACTCTGCTTGAACCCCCGCTCTCCTGCTCCTCACCCTCCCATCCCGGGTGATCCCGGTTCATCTGCTGGGGGCTCAGTTTAACCCTCACTTTCTCAAGCATCTCCTCAGTTCTCTTTCTCATACTCGCTTTGCGTTTTGCTTCTTGGATGACCTGACATGTCTGTAACTGAATAAAGAATTGGGTTTTAGTCATTTAAAGTCTGTCTTCATCCCTCGCTCCAGAAGGAAAACCTCAGAGGGCAGGGGTTTTATCTATCCTGATGACCGTGATCTCCCCAGCTTCCAGAACTGGGCCTGGTGCATAGTAGGTGTTCAGTAGAGGTTTCTTGAATGAATACTGTATACTGCTGGGTCATACATTCAGGATCAGGATAGAGCACCAATAAGTAAATACATGATCTGTATAAAGAAATCTTACTGGAAAAGCGAATTTTGAGCTCAGGATGAGCACAAATATGACAACAGAACAGCTTGGGCTGTGGGAGGCCCAGAGCAGAAGCAAAAGCTCAGTGGAAAAAAAGTAGCAAGTGTTCATAGCATCTATTTTGCTGTAGGAAGGCGCCCCGTGGTGGAGGCACCCAGGGTGGGATTAAATCCAGTGAGTGAGCTCTATGAGCCACACTCAGGCCATCCTTCGGCCT